TTCTCCTCAGCTACAGTGAAAAATTACGTTTTAGTTCTACCGACTTTTGGTCATTATTCATGAGTTAAATCACTCTAGTTTTAATGCATTTTCAAGGCTTTCTAACTGAAAGTTAAACGTCTGCAGAAGGGTGGTTGTTTATTACCATTCATATATTGTGCATGATGCCGGTGGTGAATTCGTTGGATCATTTAAAGTGACCAACAGCAAATGAATTGAAGCTAAGTGGATTTTAAGAATAATGTATTGAAAATGACAGCTCTTTCCTAAACTTGAAATCTTCCTTTTAGTAATTCTATTCATATGGTTAGTTCAGATGCTGTAATCTGGACTCTGTTTAGATAAAAGATTACTTTGGTTGTCCGTATGCCGGAAATTCTGTTTTGTATTAGCTGTTTGCGCAAACTATTTCAAAGAATTGTGCTGGGGTTTCGTGAACATAAGCAACCCTGTTACATCGCTTGTCAATTCGGTCATAAATTTCCACTGGTTTTCATGATGCGATTTTATAGTAATATTTCTTTTCTGAGCTACGGATCCTGGGGAATTGGATAACTTGTATAAACACTTTTCACTTATCTTAATATTCACTGATATTTAAATTCGAGATTTTCGGAATTAAATGAATTCGTATTACTTTGGTCCTCTTGTCTTTGTCACACTTCTCATAAAAATACTTTTCCTCTTATATTTGCGTGTCTAGCTCCACTAAAACTACCTTAGTCTGTTTGTTGAGCATAATGTATAGTAAGATGGTGTTCTAAAAGCTACAAAATTATGAACATTGAATTTTTGCCGAAGCAGTTACCTTTCACTAATACTATTTTAGGGCTCTTTACACTTACTCTTACAATGCCGGACTTTTATTTTTTTACATCGATTGAAATTCTTATTTTTTGCAGCACTGAGTTAGCATAAATTCTGTTTTAGTTGTACTCTAAGTACTAAATAATAAATCGTATTAATAGTGTCCTGTACCAGGAAATCGTAAACCGTATATTCAAAAAATAACGGACTTCAAACTAGTCTACTCTGAATTACTTAACTCAGCTCAATGATTACTCTCTCTCCCAAGTGCTTTCTGTTCGGTAGTCCTAATAAAATGCTCTATTTCTCTTATTATTAAGGTCATACGCTATCTATCACATGTTCTCAGTGGAAATATATAACGAATTTTGTATGGTTTGAATACCTTCCAATTTTTATTTCACAGTGAAAATGTTCAAAACGTTCATTGCTAAGTATAACATGAAAGTAAGACTTCATTGGTCTCTGTAAAGCGAATTGTTTGTTTCAGTTATAAACTCTGGTACTTATAGTTCAGCTTTCTGAAGCAACCAGTCTGTGTAAAATCTGACTTGCATTAAATGCCTACCAATCAGGGTATCATGACAGAGTTATCATTTACACCTTTATGACTCATAATTCTGATATGAAAAGACCACTGGATTGTCAGTAAAAGGATATCTAGAGTAGAGGTTTACTATTGAAATATTATCCTGCAGGATCTCAGTTTTTAGATGATAAACTTTTTAACTGGCGAATTACTTTAACTGCTAGTGAAGTGGTAGTTAGCATTACATTACAGTTCTTACTTCAAACTAACTCCACTAACTGAATTATGGAACGCGTCTCCTAAGAGAAATGATATTTCATTTATAGTGTTTCAATTTTATCCGGTGACTGCAGACTTTGTCTGAAACTATTATTTGAGAGCCACAGTTTGGTACAAAATTTCTTGCTTTCTACCTATGATTTTCGTGTTTTCCTAGAGTATGATAGCATGAGTGTCTAGTGTAGATATTGGGGATTATTTCTGAATTCACAAAAAGAAATGGTATCAACTCTACTTCTTGTTCAGATAACTTTTCACAAGCATCCACATTAAATGTGCAAAACCCTCCTATTTGACGACATTTTGCTCGAAATTCACATGTAATAGTACTGAAAGTTTGCCATTGACAGATAGTGTCTAAGAAATACTGTGGAAAAGTGATATATACAGAGTAATGAATTTTCTTTGGAGCCATTTTAAGTACTTGTTAGTTATAAGAGGCTGCAGTTTCACCTTGTTTAAATTACTGTGATTCCTGTTAATTGAATGTTATTGAAACCAGCCTTACTGGCTAAAATAAGGTTTATGAATTCTCCTTTTCTCAAAATATTTGAGAACTACTCTGCTGCTATTAGGGTATTCATAAAGAGTTTTTGCAATATGCATAGAAAAGTGGTGGAAATGTAGGCGTTGTTATTCGTTTGAATAAACCCCAATCTTACAGCATGGGAGGAAAGAAATAGGATTTATATTCCTGCCCTACAATGCAGAGACTTCAAATTGTAAGTTTAATGAAATTGGTTAGGCAACTGTCCCATTTAAATACTTAGTGATATAATGACTTCTGTAGCGATATCTAAATTAACCTGTTTGGTGTTCACTAAATACTTTAATTTAATGAAACAAAAATAAAAAGTAGACTAACTTACAAACTGAAGAATATGTATCATGCCTAAACTATACTTTTCAAATTTATTTGAATCTTCTCTACATATGATATTTATTAATATTTAGCTATGTAAAGTTCAGCAGTAACATGGAATATTGTCTTTGCTATATTTACCGCTTTTTGAGTCGTTCAGTAGCTTAGATGATAGATGAATCTTGTCACCTGATCAGTTATTTTTATATCTCTCCTACTTAAAATTGCATTCGAAACGAGCTAGACAAAGAAGAATGTAACCAAAGATTTGAAAGTGACTGAATCATACGTTGCTAACAAATATTAGAAATCCACATTAAAACATAGAAGAGCTAATCAGATTAGAAACACAACTTGTATTTTTAGAAAAAATATTACAGAATGCGTGTTATTCAGTTAAGTGTTAAACGTTAGGACTTTTGAAGCAGCCAAAGCAAACACTTATACCCGGATGAAGTTGAGATGGAAAGCGATAAATATAAGAAAGAAGAGAAAAATTACACTAATGCAAGAAAATAGATTGCATTTATTGTGTAAATATGTAACATATAAAAAATGCTTTCTTGTCTAGGACATTATGCTTCATACTGACTGAGCACTCCTCATTCATTCTTCCGTTATTTTTGAACGTTTTCATAATCAACAGGTTCAAGTAGTAAGACAATTAGCAGGCGTATCATGAAAGTTATTTAACCCAGGTAAACACGAAACATCAATTTAAACAACATTGTCATTTTTAAAGTTTTTTTACGTCAACAGTATTGATCTACACGGTAAAGCTGAGCCTAAAAAAAGGAGGACGACATTATGAAACGGAAAGCACGACGAGATATAATGTAATTCCTTTGAAAGCTTATGGTCTATATTTAATTTTCAATTATAGCCACGAATAATATTCAGCTTATGTTATAAGTTATTACAAATAGGTGCCAGTATATCATATTTATGCAGTACGTTTTGTTAGTGAACCGGGTTTTTTCAATTATGTCGAATTATATGTTGTCAGGAGATACTGAAAGCTATGAATAAACTTCTTCGAGCTTTTAATTGTTTCGATTGATGACAGCAGACAATATAATTTATGGATTTTACTATTGCACTGCAGCAAAATATCCTATTGGTTTTCAGGATTCTCTTTTTCTCATCCAAAGCACTGCTCGTTTTACCAGTAAATGTGAAGATAGTAGGTTGCAATCTAGAATTCTTCGTTGTTTCTGATTGATTTTTGTTTACATAAACGGACCAAAGAAGAATCATAATAAATGAGTAAGCAACTAGTTATGTAGAATCCAGCAAGCATAAAGTAAGTAAGTAAGTAATGAGTTTAGTTACATCGAGAGACATAGATGAATAAAATGTCGGGAAAAAAGGGAAAGTTTATTTACCCAGAAAAAAGATTATTTACGTTCTTAACGTAATTCACCTATCGAAAAGAGGATGAAAAACGAAAAACGAGTAGGAAATAGATTGAAGCACAACTAGTTCAGTCTCAAAAATAATTAGCTTTCTTGTTAATAGTAAGGTCACTCAATAATTCAAGGCAATTTATCATGTATTGAAGGTGAAAATAGTGCACTCGAAAACCAAGATGGTTGTTGAACAATCAGACTGCAAGGAGACATTCTTCATTACTGCACTTGATTATATTATTTTCGGACTCTTTTAGCAAATCTATTTGTATATGAGTACATTGAAGAATGATTATTGTAGTGGCATGTTATTGAGAAAATGACCAAATGTTACAACAGTTATAAAATTCTTGCTCAAAAGAGTAGGCAAAAAATAGACATGAATGAGCATTTTGCTCGTCAGAAAAAATTCAATTCTAGGCGTTCACTTAAGATAGGAAAAAAAATACGGCAAAACATATTTTTATTTTGAAAAATTGTGTCAAGTGTTACCAATGGCATTATATCAAAGATCAAAACACCCATGGTCAATTTTTCATACGCCTGGCGGAAGTTTGAGGTAAACAGACAAAATGTAACATGATCGACTGAATTGATTAGTGAGGTAGTGAAACTATGCTGCACAAATGGACCTTCATAAAGCTGATTCTTTCTTCGTTTTTCTGCATTCAAAGTATATAGTTCTCACATCAATCGAAAGATAATAAAGGCCAGTAGAAAGAGAGATTCATGAAAAATTTACTCACTGGGCTATACGGGCAAGCATTTTATTCGGTAATTTTTATCTAGTAGATAAATTTTGATTCGATATTGACCTCCTAATAAAAGAGTACTTAACCAGCATAATTATAAACCTATAGATATAAAAAATGCCAAACGCAAAGCAGTACAGTACGTCACCGAGATGGCTTTGATCACATTTTTAGAAAGGCAGATAGAACAAATATACACCTAGATGTTGGACATTTCGTCTGACCAGCTGTATTCGCTTTAATTTGCTTGAGTTAACAATTACGAAATTTTTAATAAGAAAACAACAAAAACAAACAAACGTGAACATAAACTTCATAATTTGATTGAAAGTATCCAGACACAGCATACCACGCTCAAACTTTTACTTTCCTCTTTTGGCAGCAGCATTTATGAGTCTGGAAAATCTAAGCGATACTTGCAGTGCACGGCCTCCCACTACGCACCTAAAATGAAACAAAATACTTGTGAATATTATTGGAAATAAATGATCTGCTTTATGAGCTGTATCACAGTGTGGTTCATGGTTATAGATAGTCAGTGAAAATATTCTTCTTTATGATAACATACATCTGGACTTACGCCTCTCCACTTGCACTTTCTTTTCATTTCACACATATTTGTAAACATCGTATAGGAGGGCAGGCAATTAGATCCAGCAACCTCATTATTCTACATACATGGGAACTGAATGAATCCTTCTTATATCCAAAAGTTGTTATTTTATTGAGTTATATGCTTAAACGTGAGTTTTTATCTAGTCCAAGTCAAATTAGTTTTGATTCAAGAGTATTCTTCCAAGTACGGTATGTATGCGTTTTAAACATTATCTATTTCCCGCGTGCAATACTACTGTATATATTCAGTTTGATTCATTCACGAATAACTGCATATATTAGAAAAATCTGTTTTCAGGTTCACCTTCATGCAGGTGATCAGAACAGAAACTACTGAGATTTATCACAAACAGAAACAGAAATTCTTCTATTCTCTAGTTATGTTGTACCACAATTACAGTTATGAAGAACAGGATTTTTGTCAGCCAAGATACTTTTTCCTTTTCGGTCGAAAAGAAATATTTCTGTGCTGATAAAATCTTGTTCTTCTTAATTATGAATAAATATGCATACTTCATCATCCATGATTATACGAGATTTGTGAATTTGCGTTTATAAAGCAAGCGTAATTATTCATACTCAATAACTTGCGACAAAGGCATCGAACATTCATCTAGTTTCTACTTTTTATCAGATTATGAAAGCGGTAAGACAAACGGCTAGCATATATGATACAAGCTCATTTCCGTTGGTGGATTTTTTTTGTACATAGAAGCTTTTTTTAAAACTAGACACCATGTTAGGAAATTATATTGCAGGAAACCCCAAAAGCTGCTTGTTCAACAAATTACTCGATTCACTACTACCTTGGATATATTGAAACTGACATTTCTTTAAGCTAGATGTTTACTCATGAAGTTAACTATTTATCTTAGAAATCCTTCACACAGCATACTTTATTCGAAAGTGAAGTTGATGAATTTTGCGAATACATGCTATAATAAGTGTGGCGAAAATTTGCTTTCTTCCGGCAAAATTAAATCACTCGACATTCTGTGCAGTAAATGGACATCACGCCATCTTACTGCTCAGTCAGTCACTGGAAATTTATGATCACTTGTCGTAAAAGCGTTTTTCCAATTCAAACTAAAATAACTATCATCAAATTACCCCTTTCAAAAATGAAATATATCACGATAATCAAGGAATGCTTACAATGACGATAAATTGTTTTTTGAATATATAAAGGTGGCATAAAACCTCAAAAACAGTTTATCATCAAATCAAACCTTGTTAGTTGGTTGGAGGCAATCGGCAGGAAGCCGTGGGCCTAGTTTCCGTGCTTTTTGGAACTCGTCAGCAAGGCGTATCTTCAGCCTCGACGGAACTGGTTTCCCGCTTGAGATTCGAACTCGCATCACCCAGTGTTGTATTCAGTGACTTTACCACTGAGGTATTCGGGCCGCTATTGACCTCCTGTAGGACTGGCTTACATGTATTGATTGGTCATAGAAGTGCAACTAATTTCATGTTGTCTAGTCCAGGGCTTCCTGCCGATTGCCTCCAACCAACTAACTACTACTAATGTGCACCGCGATGCTGAGCTTCCTAGCTTGGTTACCATATTGCAAAAATGATCGACAGAATTCAGTCTGCACTCAGGACTAGACAACATGAAATTAGTTGCACTCCCATGACCAATCAATAAATTAAACCTTCCCTGATAAATTCTGATTTGATCCCAAGATAATTGTACCGTTATTCTCTTTCATTGCCTTATTGGTATTTCGACAGAATATGTTATTTTGTGATAAACACTCTGAGAATCATTTCAAGATTCAGGCAAGTAATTTCACCTGAATTAAACATTTGTTTACAGTGGAAAACTCCTAGTAACAATTTTTACACTACTTTAAATCATATATTCAAGCATATAAATGGAACCGTGAAACATATCAGTTCACGTAAATAAGTTAAGCAACAAGATGAATATGAGAACATGACAAACACAGCTAACTGGCCACATGAAGTTTATGCATTTGTAAGTAAGGGATCTATTCAGTTTTGAATATATATATATATATATATATATATATATATATATATATATATATATATATATATATATATATATATATATATATATATAATAAAATGTCCACGAAATTGTGCACACTGACAATGCTTAAAGTAATTCTAATTTTCGAAAATAGCATATTCACCATAAACAGGAATTTATTGTTTATTTCATATCATGATTAAGAGTATATTATTTTTACCTTGATGAGTGGTAAATTATACTGAAACGTCACCTAGTAACTTATCTTCACTGATCTCAAAAGCTGAAAAAAATGAAGAATGTGTTGCATCTTTTTCATTTGATTTAAAAATTCTTGTGTAGGAAATTAATCATTGAGTGGGTAATCTTGAAATACTAAGGAAGTGGGACAAAACTTCATATTCTGATGAAAAGTGTCCCAGCCTCCCTAACAACTTGAAAGTAACTTTCATCCTGGATTGAAATCAGCTAAAAAGCCATTGAAAATCAGAGCACAGAACTCATGTTCCATCGTTGTTGATGACTCCTTAGCAATGAAGACCCATAAGGGATCAAGTAAACTTCAGTCAAGTACTGTGATCAACGCCTTGCCATTCAGTCTCAAGGTTGAATGGATCATATTTTCCTACTTCTGTCACTAAGTGATAGAGTGCGAACATAACCCAATGTCATCGGTAGGCACATGGGTGGATCCCAGTCTTTTTGAATCCATAAGTAACGCAATCTCATTAGAAATTTAAAACATAAACATCGTAGCAGTGTCACTCAATGATGAAAACTACTTTCAAAAAAATGAATCCATACAGATCAAAACCAAAACTCAAAATGGCGTCTAAAATAAATATTCAAGATGACTAGTAAACGTCTCAGTCAGTCAACATTAATGCGCGATTTATTTTGGTTGTTATGAGAACCTCAACAGGAAGTCGGCATCTCCCTACATGTCTCAGACTAACAGTCACAGACTTCATCGACTGTTGCAATGTTTTAGCCTGGTTGCACATAACCTGATCCAAGCCTAAACCGAATGCAATTCACATTGCATGACGAGGCAGATAGTGGCTCAGCATGACTAACACGTGTACCATACACCTCAGTCATTGAAGATCTACAACCATATCAACTGACTAACCTCTTCAACTTAAAACACAACTCCCAACTGCTGCGTTACCCACCTGGTGGTCCGAAATGATACGCCATACCCACCAATACAGCGAGCGAGCCATCTCATGATCTTCAACTTTATTGACCATATTTCACGGACATATAGAAGGACAAAGCAAACTAGAACGCAGTACATTCAGCAATTTTCACGCAACTAAGTACCACACAAACACCATCACTTGGGAAAAGCTAGCAGAGTTATTTGCATCGAAGCAAAGAGTTCTCCGGTCACTGCCCCCCAGGCCTCATTCCACCTCTTAGTAAGTTAAGTGGTCAATGCGATCAATCACTCTACCCGCCACTGTTTCATAGGACACAAACGCAAATCAATCCTGGAGCATAAACTGGTATTTTAGGATATGAAACTGGTACCAAGAATTTCTGAGTTTTTATTTAGGACATCTAGAAAATGCTGCAACACAACAGCATCTTCATTTAACGGGACTTTATCTTATTATGTGCTAACAGCATACTATGGATTTTTCTGTTGAGTAGACGATAAAAGGTAGACCTGTGTTAGTCAAGATGAATCGCATTAGAGCATTACCATGTTTATCACAGATGGCACAGGTTATATATATATATATATATATATATATATATATATATATATATATATATATATATATATATAACACCATTCAGTCCAGAAATACAGCTGGCGTCGGGCACTGACAAGTTTACTTGTTTTCCAGAACCTGGCGAAGGGTAACTTTCTCGTTGACACGCCCATAATCAGGCCTGAAACCTGACTGATTTTCTTGGATTTGTCCTCCAGTTGCAAGTCTTGGAGATCTTGAACAATATGTTACCCAAGCTGACTCCAGTATGATAACCGAAAGCGGACTCCACTCTTTCTTGAAACTAGGGAGCTAGACAGTCGGGAGAGGACTGTATTGGATTTCCACATGGTAGTTAATACATTGGCAACTTTCAGCATCTATCCTTGACCCATGTCTTCGAATGCTACTGATGTAAGCTCATCACGACCTGATATAATACCTCGTAGCTAGTTACCTACAGCCTCAACTTCTACAAGATTTGACGGTCCTAACCGCGTTTAGGGTGTGATAGAGTATCCGCCAATAGGTTAGTAGCTGGGCTAGTTGAAACATTCCTCAGAGTGTCACGTCCATGATTCCATTCTTCCGTGCAAGTGAACCAAAATACTGTCCCACTTCACTAAGCTCTCACTAACCACTGACTTGTCTTACCCTGGTCACTGTGATAAGCATGAATACATGTCTAGTGTTTGCTACTTATTGTTGAGGTCTTTTCTGTCTCTTCAGCTGTAGTCGCCCACCACTGCTGACGATCATCGTTTGGACTGTCGGTTAATCTGAATTTGAGTTGTCTCTCCAGAGACTACTAGAATGCATTAATGCACAACTATTAGTTCACAAGAAGCCATTTAGACCTTTTGGTCGTTCTTATTTTTCTCTATCTTTTCATTGCAAACTGTTTCTAAAGTAGACTTAGGATGGTACTTCTCTAAAATAAGTGACTTTATCCTGTTACGATAACTGTCTAGCCAGTTCGTCGTTGAAATCAGCCTTAGATTTGGAATGATCAAGGCACGCCTGACATGGTCTTAAACACGAAGTTTTTCAGTGCTTACTTAGCCACGTACCCAAACCACCGTGTGATCATTATCCAAACAGGTTTC